TGTTGGAGTATTTTGTAAGGCTTTTTGTTTTTGTTTTGTTTTGTTCTGTTTTTACTGGAGATTGAACTTAGGGTGCTTAACCATGAGCCACATCTCTAGCCCTTTTTAAATATTTTATTTAAAGACAGGTTCTCACTGAGTTGCTCAGTACCTCACTAAGTTGCTGAGGCTGCCTTTGAACTTGTGATCCTCCTGCCTTATCCTCCCAAGTTGCTTGGATTAGAGGCATGCCCCCACTGCGCCTGGCTCCTGATGTAGTTTTAATTTGCATTTCTCTAATGCCTAAGGATGCTGAGCATCTTTTTGTTTCCCATCTACATGTCCTCTTTAGTGATATGATGGTTAATTACTTTTACCTATTTTTCTAATTGAATGGTTTCCTTTTACAGTTAAATTGCAATATATTTTAGACATTAATCTTTGATCAGATACATGGCTTGTAAACAGATTGTTTCCGGTATTTGAACTGTCTTTGTATCTTTTATAAGAATTTTCATGGGAAAAAAGTTTATATTTTTTATTTTGATGAGGTTCAACTTATTTTTTCCATTTATGAATCATTTATGAATCATCAAGTTTAAGATCTAAATTAGTCCTAAATATGATGATTTTATCCTATTTTTCCTAAAAGTTTTATAGTTTTATATTTTAAGTCAGTGATTCTTTTTGAGTTATTTTTGCAGCAGTTGTAAGATTTAGGTAAAGGCCAACATTTCTTCCTATGTAGGTCCAACTTACTACTCCGGAACTAATTATTTATCTCTTACATTAAATTGGTTTTACATCTTTGTCAAAAATCAGATGAGGGACAGAGGTTGTGCCTCAGTAGTAGAGTTCTTGCTTAGCATGTGTGAGGCACTGGGTTCCATCCTCAACACCACATTAAAAAAAAAAAGAAAAATAAGGGGCTGGGGTTATGGCTCAGCTGTATAGCACTCACCTCGCACGTGCGAGGTCCTGAGTTTGATCCTCAGCACCACATATAAGTAAATAAGATAAAGTTAAATAAATAAATAAATAAATAAATAAACAAAATAAAGGTATAAAAAATCAGATGAGCTTCTTTATCTTAATCTGCTTCTAGGTTCTCTATTCTGTTCTACAGAATATGGACTATTCTCATTCATAAACATGGCCTGAAGAAATATGCTCAACAACTTCACCTCCCATTTGAAACAAGAAATAAATATGAAAATATTAAGTCCATTTGAATACCACTAGCTGATAAAAAATACTCTAGTAATTTCTTATTAAATATTCCATCAGCATACAAATGTAACTAGGAAAATATAGCCCCTTTCCTCTTTTGATATAAGCTGTATTAGTGCAAAATCAACAAATTGTGTTTTACACTTAAAATCACTTCCTACACAGACCCCTGCTCCCATGTAGCCACCAAGACTGTTCACTTCCTCTATGAATGTTTCTGGGAGTTTATGACTTGTGATGGATCAGAGCATATAATAATCTCTATTCTTGACCAGTTCTCTCTCATTTATTACAATGCTCAGCTATGTTACATAAGTTCAATAATAAACAACTTGTATACTCTTAGAAGAATATCTGAAATGTCTTAAGCCCAGAAACACCAAATATCTATCTCAGAAATTTATAGATAGAAAATCCAGCAGTGATTCTAACTTCAGTGAAGCCCCTGCCCCTACTTATTCCTTCCCCCTTTCTCCCTTACACTTTTGCTTTCACTTTTTCTTCAGTGTCAATATCTCAGATTAACAGTTTTATTAGCCTGTCTTGCTCCCATGCTCCCTTACCGGACCAATCTGTGCAACTAATACGTGGGGTTCAATGATTAACCAAATTGGGGATATAGATTGAGATGGTCAAGACCCACAGAATCATAGGGGAGAGAAAGCTTTTGAATTGGAAGATGGCTAAGTAGGCAAAAAATAAGAAGTAGCCACATTTCTGAGATGAATGAGAGGTCAATATCAGCTCTACATCACAATGCCACCCAGAGGAACCTCACTCATGTGTAGGTCTGTATGGAGTTATCTCTTGAGCTCTTATCCTCTGGTTGCCTCATGTGGGGAATATTTCAACCTCCACATTACCTCCAAAGGTAGATTCACCAAATGTGGAAGCACTCATGTCACCCATGTTTTCAAAGTCAATCTTGGAAGATTATATCATACAACCAAGACACACAGAATCAGAAAGCAGAAGCAAATTCCCAGATTTCAATGTAGTCATGGCAATTGAAACAATATTTTTCTCATAAAATCAATGTCCTAGTGGGCTGGGGATGTGGCTCAAGTGGTAGCACGCTCGCCTGGCATGCGTGCGGCCCGGGTTCGATTCTCAGCACCACATACAAAACAAAGATGTTACAAAACTAAAAAATAAATATTAAAATTCTCCCTCTCTCTCACTCTCTCTCCTTCTCTCTGTCTTTAAAAAAATCAATGTCCTAGTGAAACGGGGTTTGAGATGAAACTTGATTCTCCACTTCTGCTGGTGGGTGGGATCTGCCTAAGCTGCAGGCCTCTGAAGTCAAGAAAGACTGTTTTAGTGTTAGCAGCTAGTCACAGCAGGGGCTGCTTGCCAGTGTCACTTCTGAAGGTCACAGTTGGCAAAACCAGATTCTTCTTCACTACTATCCAGCGGCAGGCTGCTGCTGTTAAGAGGGACCATGCACTCCAGTATCACAGCAGACTCCAGCAGCTCATTGCCAATTTCTTTGTTCTGGATTTTTATCTCAGGAATTCAAAGAATGAAATTCATATATGAGGAAGACTGTGTGTAAAAAAATAGGATTTCTTCAAGTAAGAAGAAAAGAGCAGAGCTCTTACAGGGAGACCACGTGAATATGCTGGACTAGGGGTTTATATAACTCTTAGGTCAATACTATTGGTCTGAATTTATGGAAGTCAGGTTTTAGAAAAGTACTAATGCTGTTGGTTAGCCCTGCAATCTCCATTTAGGTATGCCCCCACTTTCATTTTCTCTCTGCTTGTAGGCCCTGGCCAGCCGTCATAGGGTGACAGCTTGGCATGCCCTGGCTCACCTTGGTTCTGGCTCACTGGGCGGCAGGCTGTAGCCTATACTCACTGCCTATGCTTCAGCCTGCCCAGTCTGCCATTAGGCTGCCACTTCTTGGCTGCACTTCTTCTCAGGCATTGGTGGGCTGGCTGTATGGCTCAGCAATTGGGGAGCCATATTGTCCAGGCCAAGGGATTGGATTCACTAGCATTCCAGCTATACCACAGACACTCTCTGTGCTCATTCTATCTATCTTGATAGATAGATTCTTTTGGATTAAAGAGCACATCTCCAGATTTTGGTCTCTATATTATGGATGACTAGAAACTATTAAGCCATTTTTTAACATAGACATCCTCACCTTTCCCCACTGTCATGGTAGCCATTCATCTGTTATTCTGAATGGTGTTTGAAGGGAAGAATACAGGAATGTGAAAAGCCAGGGGAAGTTAATAACAGAAGTCTTAGCCAAGAAAAAAGAAATTTTGAATGGAGCACTAACAGACTAGAATGGAAGAAATGACAATATCCAGATGATTTTAGAAGACTAACCAATGGGAATTTACTGAACAACCCAAATATGGGTAAAAGTTATTCTTTCCCCTTAAATGTAAATAAAATCTACTCAAACCACTTATTTGGCAACCTGTGAAAGACCAGTGATTCCGTCAAGATGTTGGCTACTGCCAGAACTCCCTCTCATATTCTGTTCCTAATGAATTCTGAGCTCCTTCGCTCCTTGAATGTCAGCTCCTATTGCTTTCCATAGTACTTATCCTTCCTCTTACCCATACATGAAACAGTCCTATTTCTTACTGTCTCCAAAATGACAATCTGCACAGGATCCATATTAGTAAATATTGAAACCCAAGGGAGGTTCAAAGAGGGTACTGATGGATCTATGTATTATTTTAAAAATGGAACAGAACTATGCACATTCAAATGGAATATGCCTTCCTATGAGTCCTGCAGGAACTGGGAGTTTCTCCTTGTCCAGTATTCCTCTCCACAGCTTCCTGATACTATGCTATTTGTCCCTTCATCTTTTTCCACAGCCATCCATATTATCTTATCTTCTTCAAAAGTCCTGTTTGCTTTCTCACTGCCCTCCTCCATATATATCCAAATAACCACCAGAAAGCTTCATCTTTAAAGAAAAAAATATGTCCACAAAGTTAATTTAAAAAAAAAAAAGCTCACATTTTCCTTGAGTGAAATTTTGTGGCCAAATCTCACAGTATATTCTTCTCCCCCTAGTATCCCTGGAAATTATGCAATCAAACTCAAGTTTTAACCCTATTACAATGATACAAGTATGTAATAGATAGAGGGAATTATGACACTATGCTTACCATATACTGGGGAGAATCTACTTGCTTCTATCTTTGAAATAACCCTGGGTTCTCACAAATATACAAATTTATTATTACAGCACCTCAAGTCCACATGTTTTCTTTGACTTTCCTTCCTCTCCCTTGGTATCAATCCTGTATATTAAAACAATTTTTTGTCCATTTTCCTTTGTCCATTTCCTTTTTAAATTATTTTGAATTTATGGATCCTGATGTGAATATCTTATAGAAAACTCTACATGCAAAGTTCACAGTCAATATGTCTTTGGTCATATGCTACTCTTCCAAAATCTCACTTAAATTCAAAATTTGTGTTTTTCCTGGACTTGAATAAATCAAGACTGATTTCATGGTAACAGAAACATTCTTTCCTACCATATATTTCCTGCAGCAGATGGATATGTCTCTATATCCTCCAGGTTTCCTCCTCTATTTCCCTTTCTGGTATTCCATTCTCTTTTCAAACAGATCTTAGCAGAGCTTGTAAAGTTCAAATTGCTTCTTCAATTAGATCCCACATCTCTTCTCCATTCGTAAAGCTAAATCTTTATTGGATAAGAGTACCATCTTTCTTTTTCAATTTTTACTGATTAAAAGAAAAAAAAAACTTTTTTCTCTTAATTCAGGTAATTCAGTTAACATCATTACCTGTGCTTTTGGTATCCCCTTCCCAAAACCTGAGCAGTCATTCACTCTTCACCTAGTGGTCAGTCAGTTCTAGTTGCTGCAACACAAACCCACAGTCTCAATGAAACAACACAACAAAACTTCATTGATTGTCCACATTATAGTCAGATTTGGGTAAACAACCCCTGTCCAGTTTATATTAGTGCCATAAGGACCTCGTGGCCTCTAGGTGACCACAGCAGGAAAAGAGTTAAAGACTGCATAGGATCGTTCTAAGGGTCAGGCTTAAAACTGATATCTATAACTTCTCCCCATACCCTCTTGGTTGGAAAATAATCTTATCATTTTAATCTAACTTCAAGGGAGCTTGGGATAGATGGATTGATACATACATGTATAAACAACATGCATGATTAACACTAATGGTCTCTGCTACAAATCCTCAGCAGTCTTCACCCTCACAGTTTCTTTTCTCTATTTCAGAGAAACTAAGATGGGGCACTTAAAATGTAGCCAGTCTAATTTGAGATGTGCTATGCATATACAATACATTCTGAGTTTCAAAAACTTAATAAAAATCATAAAATATCTTGTTAATAATATTCATATTGACACAAGTTGAAATAATAACATTTTGGACATATTTGGTTGAGGACAATATGCTACTAAAATTAATTCTTTTTTATCTGTTGCTTTGTATTCAGAAAATTTCAAATTAGATATGTGGCTATACTAAACCTCTATTGGATGACCAGAGTGAGATTTTGATAGTAAGATATTATTATATCCAGAGCATATGGAGATAACCAATTCCTGTCCCAGATTGTAGCCAGTATTATAAAGGACCCTGAAAGAAATACACATAAAAATAATGGAGAAGAATGAAAAAAAGTTTCAATTCCCATGTTCTGAATCTGTATATTGCAATAAGGAACTCTGGAAAGCTAGATTGCACTTATGTTTTTAAAGCTGAAAGCATGAGAGGTCTCTCCCCATAACTAATTCCAAACTCTAATCTTACAGTTTTAGAAGTACAGGTAAGTATTGGCAAATGCATGGGACCGATTTTAAATAATTTAGACTTTGCAAACTAAGTCTCTGCTGCAATTACATAACTCTGCTGATATCATATGAAAGAAGCTATGAACATTACATATTCCAATAAAACTTTATTTATGTAAGTAGAATCTGGGAATTGTGCTCTAGTTTGCCAATGCCTGAACTATAGGAGGTGGGTGGAAAAGGTTAGAGAGGCAGGCAGGAATCAGAGCAGATAGAAACTAGGTCGCAATACGTCAGCTATCTCTTGCTATACAACAAACCAACCAACTCTCCCTGCCTCAAATCACAACAACTATTTATTTTCCCATAATTTTGAAAATTGAACAGTGCTTAGCAGACAAGCATGAGGTAATTTCTGTCCCATTTTGTAGATCAAAGCAAGTCACAGAATAGTCCAGATTCCCTGCCTAGACCATACACCGTTCACCAGGGTGGTTCAACTGGACCTGGAGATTCAAAATGGCATCACACTCACTCTTGGTGGCTAAGTGCAGAAGGATGCAGGGGAAAGAACTAGCAGGGCTTCCCTGTCCCTCCCTTCACAGTCTCTTTGCCACCAACACTCTCTCTCTCTCCTCATGGCCTTTCTATGCAGTGATGGAGTTGGACTTCTTTGATAGCAGGCTTTTCATGGCACAGAGTCTTCCAATGCCCAAGCATGAGGTAATTTCTGTCCCATTTTTATAGATCAAAGCAAGTCACAGGATAGTTCAGATTCAAGAATAAGAATAATACATGCTACTGTTTGGGGAAAGAATGTTTTGGCAATCTTATTTGTAGCTCATTTTCCTCACACAATAAGTAGTTGAGATTTTTTAAATAAAATAGAAAGCCATTTTATCTAACAAGGAAATTACATGTTCTGATTTCAGTTTTGGAAAATATATATATATACATATGGAAAGAGAAATGTCTCCGTTATATCTTCCTGTAGTTATCTTTCTGCTGCACCTGGGAGAGCTTGGTGGTAAGATAGACAGGAACTTATGAGAACACAAAGGCTAATAAAGACGTAAGGAGTCTCAAAGAATGAGGGCTGAAATTCACCTGAGAGAGGCTCAGCTCTTCCTGATGTCGTGACAAGCCTCAGTGATTTAAAATGGCTTCATGCTCATGCCCAGTGGCTCAGTGGAGGTGGATGGAGGATCCAGGGCTAGCCTGGCTTCTCTGTCTCATGTGTGCTCAGTTCTATCCTGCAATTATGAGTTTACAATAATTATGGCTAGTTACCTCACAGCCTTGCTAATGTAATCCCAAGGTGAATGAATTTGGTATGAAATAGTAGCCATTTGACTTGAAACCATCCTAACAATTAGGAAAACTGAAAGCTCACATCCCACTGGCAGCAGATTATTAAGAACAAAATGATTTTCATAAGTTTAGTAAGTTCTTAAATTAGCAATTTATCACTAACATTTTCCAAAAAAAGCATATCAAAAAATGTTAATTATAATGCTTATAAAATCCCCATAAATGCAAAAATCAGTTACATACAGTATTCACTCTTGATTATCATTTTTGTTTTCATTTTGGTTGTTATTTTCTTTTGTTTGAAACAAAGTCTCACTATTTACCAGGTTAGCCTTGAACTCCTGGTCTCAAGTAATCCTTCCACCTCAGCCAAGGAGCTGGCAAGTGTGCCTTCAATTATTGTCTATATAAACTTTGTATTTAGTCACTCATTGATTTTATATAGTCATTTTTATTTTATCATCAGTAGTAGTAGTAGTAGTAGTAGTAGTAGTAGTAGTAGTAGTAGTAGTAGTAATACTGGGAATTGAACCCAGAGGCTCTTTATTACTGAACCATATCCCCACTCCTTTTTTTTTTAATTCTGAGACAAGGCCTCACTAAGTTGCTGAGGCTGGCTTTGAACTTGTGATTCTCCTGCCTCAGCCTGCCAAGTCACTAAGATTGTAGGCATATGCCAACCAGCTACATGTTTTATTTTTAAGTAGTTTTCTAATTATTGATATTACATTATACAGTAAAGATTCTACATATTCATTTATTGTATTCCTCTGCTGGAGACCTATCAATTTAGCATCAGTTCACTTTAACTGTAAAGAATGAACTTTATTTATTTATTTTCTTATTTATGTGTTTTTAACAAACAAACAAAAAAAAAACACATGTCTCAGGGGAAATTTAGAGTGAACAATAAAGAGAGTTAGTCTCAGTAGTAGGTGTGTTTTCTAAAACAAAAATCAAAAGCATCAGGCATGGAATCATTACAACAGTCATTAACGATAATGGAAATCGGTGGCCTTATTTCTCTGTCACTGAAAATAAGGCAAAGAAATGCACTTTAAGAGCATGATTCGAGAATATTCTGAAAGTTAAAACTAGTAATAAGCTATTTTTCCCTAGGTATTTGAAGTAATAATACAATTTCTTTCCTGTCATAGTATCAGGAGAATAGAATAAATGTGTTTCAAGCATCACCTGAAAGAGGAAATAGGAACAATTTAAAAGCATTCTCATTAAATTTAGCATGATTTCATTGTCCTTCAGCAAAACACATTTCCTTTCAGGATGCTCTATTTCACTACCCTCTTGAAACTAGTTTGAAGAGGGAGACATTAACCACTTGAATAATTTTCTGCCAACCATCTACTATTTTCTTACCATTGCATTTCAGCTTATTCCATAAAAATAGACTAGATCTTACCTAAAATGTCGAGTTACAGATATTATGTTTATAAATTCAAACACAATCAGCAATGAAGAACTTTTAAGACCCCTGTCAAACTTTCTTGTACAAGAAAGGATATTTTTGTAATCTGAATAAGTGGCACTTGATGTACTTGCCTTGGCCTTGGTGCAAGAAAGGACCACAAGTCTTTGGTAACAGAAACTGATTAAGGTCTGCTGGGGAGAAAGCAGTGACAATAAAAGAGAGAAGGAGATGGCCAAAGGAGTACAGGGATTGGGGACAGCCTGCAATGTGTGAGACAGTTTGTTACAGACCTTTGGGTCCTAGTACACCCTGAGGACCTCCATATTCCCTCAAAGAGCGCTCTTAGCACAAACCAATAGAGTTATTTTTGCTGTCACAAATAGCATCCCTTCAGTATCCAGGTTCAAGATTTTTTGTTTTTAAATGTGCTCCAAGAGAAACAAGATTTTTAAACAATAGGAAAATTTTCTTTGGTAAGGAAGAATTTTGGCATGGATTGTTGGAAAACTTGGTTTAATGAGGACATCACATAATGTGGCCATCAGAAGCCCTGAAACCCATTAGCATCACAGACAACTGCAGGCATGTCCAGCATAAACCAGCTTTGCTCCTGATGGCAGTGAAAGGTTGGCCACTAGAGGCAATGAGGAAGCAGTCTCTTTGCCCAACCTCCATGCAGCAGATGGGAAAGAAGATGGTGTCTGAGTAAGGTTTGTTCATCAATATATCCAGAACACAAATTGTACATTGACCGAAAAAAAAAGAAAAATATATATATACACTAGTTAAATGTGTATCAGAGGGAAATTATGTTTTTCTAGTCATATGGTGGCCACTTCTCCCTTGACTAATAGCAGCATAGTTTCCTTTAAGTAGTTCCCCTTGCCTCATTGTGTGCTATCATGTTTACATGGTAAATAAGAGTGCCCTCCCACTATGAAGACCAAGAGAACCCCAGGGACTTTGGTAGATCAGACCTCTTCCTGCTTATCAAAGAGCACGATGTAAAAATACAAAGTAAGCAATAGTAATTGGTATCTCTATCCAGCTATTTTGATATTTGAACACAATGAATCAAGATATGGAGAAATACAGGGAGTTGATTCCTCTGTGAAGATATCAGAACTCTGGTATTAAATGGTTTATATGTTAAGTTTACCATTACTAGTTCCTATTCATTATGCTACTGAAATTATTATTGCTACTACATTTTGCTGCTAATATCTAGGTAGTTTCAGGTAAAATTGTACAAAGACTTTGTAGCTCATTGTCCCTGGAATAAAGAGAAGGAAATTGCAAGCCATTATACAGAATGTGGGTCTCTTTGAGAAAGGAGCAAATACCCTTGTTCTGCCATCAGATGTTACAAAGGCTACATATATCTGAATTTACCTCTTTGGCCCTGGGCTTCACCTTCCAAGGAGGTAATTGGAGTCTATAAATCTCAAATTTCTAACATTTTGTTATTGAAAAGCTTTAATTTTTAAGGAAAACATATGTGCTCTCAGCACATATTTATTACACCCACACAGAAGCTCAGGCTTGTTGGGACTACTCTCCCCATTGTACAGTATGGAAAAGAGCCCAGAGGTGTTAAAACAGAACCCCCAAGGTCATTCAGGAGACGTGTGACGAAGCCAGGATTCCAACCTAGATGCTCTGGCTCCAGAGCCTGTGACCTTACGAAAAAATCAATACACAGAACGTGGTGACTCATGGGAAATGGGAAGGCAAGAAACCCAAACCCAAACCAAACCAGGACAACAGGACCCAAGTTGGAAGGTGAAAGCTGGAGAGAGAAGATAATGAGCAACCCAGATGAAATGTTCAAGTGCACAATGACTCTGATGAGCCCACTTTACTCCAGGTGTCCAAGATTTTCTTGTAAAAGCCAGTTTATCTGTTTAACCTTATTTACTTTGATATGTGAACAGAGTGGAGAATAGACTGGCTCTGGGAATCTTTGCTCCAAGTGTGATGTGGGGTGCTCGAATTGGGTATGTGATGTTAAGATATTCAACCTTTCTGAATTTCTGCTTTCTTTCAGAAATCACAGAAAAAAAGAATTTCTGCACATTCCTTTAAACGGATTTAAACTCTCTAATTGACACATTAAAAATTGTACACACTTATGTGGTTCCCTTTGATGTTTCAATATATGTACATGTTGCATAATGTTCAAATCAAGGTAAGCATGTTTCTCTCAAACACTTACCATTCCTTTGTAGTGGGGATATTAAAAATCCTCTCTTCTACATTTTTGAAATATATAGGACATTATCATTATCTATAGAAAATTCTTCATCACTCCAATTAATGTCAATGAATAGTATAAATCAGAAGGTTCCTTGAAAAACTATTAAGTCATTAAAAGATTCTTAGTTATTTTGAATTATATCTTTTGCATATTTCTAGCTATAAAGTTCTACAGCCTAACTAGTAAAATTAGAAAAAAAATTGATGGCTATAATAAATGAGCATGTCCACATGAGCAGTCCACATAGCTATAAAATGTGAACATTACTAACAAGTTACATTTATAAGAAAAGTGCTCTTTGACCTTAAAACTATTTCACATCTTTTTAAAATTGAACTTATGAAAACTTAAAGGAGTAATGAGTATGGCATCATTTCTACTTAGTGTTTTTGCTTAGAGATAATCATAGCCCCAAATTCAAAAGCAACAGTGCTTTTGGAAAATCAATATTGATTTTCTGACAGGAATTGACATATAGTGTTTCAGTTTGGTAACAGAGGCAGAGTCCAAGCAAAATGAGTGTCATTTAAACACTGTTAGTGTAACAGATATTTTTTTTTCATTTGTTATTTACTACAACCTTCATGTTGGAACATTGAAATTTAAGACAAAAAATTTGATTGTGCTGAAATCACCTGGATGTCAACACCTTTCCAACTTTGCAAACTTAAGCACACCACCTATATCCTAACAGGATTTCAGTGACTAAGCAAATCTCTCCCTAAACCGAAAGTAAGGAAGGGCTGTATCCTCTACTCCATTCCTGCTGACCCAGCAGATGCACCATCAGGAGCGACATGTCTGCTACAATTAAAGCATAGGCAAAAATGTAATTTGACAAGTGGCAAGAAGCAGCTTTCTAATTAAAACACCACACATTCCACAAAGCTCTCAAGACTTCACTCTGATTTTAGGCCTCAGTTAAGCATTTTGAAAAGGCATCTCCACTGTAGAATCAGAAATAAAAGCCCCAGCTCTCCTGCATCTACAAATCTTAATTGGTTTTATGGTACTGAAAATCTATTCTGGGCTCTTCTTTCAAATTAAGAGTTACAAAAATAAAATCCACTTAATTAAACCAAACTCAAACTCATAATTTTTTTTTCCTGCAGAAAAGTTAACAGATAAAATGTTAGGTAGGAAAGAATTTCTAATAGACTTACAAACTTCACATGTTTATGACAGATTTAAGAGAAAGAAATCAGCTTTTTAAATGGTAGATATAGTTCTGGGACAAATTCCCCTAATCAGTATAGCAAAGTAGCAAACTCTAGGATATGGTTATCTTGGTCTAAAGCTG